ATTAAAATTAAAACAATATAAATACTTTATTTTTAATTAGCAGCCAACATATCTGACAGGTCAGCTGCGAATTTTAGTCATGAAAAACTAACCGTACATTGACCGATTAATTATTAACCGGTTTAATTTTAAAATATTTTAAAGGCTTTATTTTAGATGTTTAAATTTCTGTATTTATGTTGAGAATGGATAAAGTTTTAAGATTAAATAGCTTTATGCAATCCATATTATTGTTTCCCTGATAAATTGTTTCATAAACTTGTTAATCCTTATCCTATTTATTTATAATTCTTAATTTAATTTTATTTATTTCACTTCAAATTTTTTCAATTAATTACAAAAACAAAAATAATTAGTTTATGACTTCCTCTTGAATTATTGTTACTTTTTGAAACTTTATCATTTCTATTCATATGAAATTCTTATTTAAAAATGAAATTTCTTATTGTTATAGTTTTAATAGAAACATTTGAATATAGCTTTTAAGTAAGTATTGATTTCTACTCCATGTTTAATTTTTGGTTCTGACTGTCCCCACCCTCCTATTGATTCTCTCCCAGCTTCTGTATCAAATGAAGCTAGTAAAAAAATAGAAAAGATACAAAAGAATATAATATTACGTATTAATAAAACAAAACAATGTTTTGTTATCACTTATATAGGTTATTATGTTTATAACTTCTAAGTATTAAGTATTTTTTTTTTTTTTAATTTTTGACATCTTTAAAGATCTTTAAAAAATATATATTTAATATAAATGTGACTACATTGCATTTGTATTTTACATATAGAAATAAAACATTTAAATTTAAACTTTGAGATAAAATTAATCATAGATGAAAATTAAATTTTATAAGTCTTATATTCCATTGATATTTATATTTCTTTCATGTAGGTTTATAAATTATATTCTTTTTATAAAAATATTTATCAATATTCATCAATATTTTTTTTTTTAATTTTAAACTTTAATTTTTAATCACTATAACCCCGTATGTATGACATTTTTTACTTGTAACTTTATTTAATTTTTTTAAATATTCATATTTATTTTGACACTTTTAACCATCTAAACATCATTAGCCTATGTTATAATGCATAATAAACTTACCAATGAAAGCATTGTTTTGAAGTGCTTGTCTGTTTCTTTTTCTTTCATGTTTCATTTACAACATCCAGCCTGTATTTTCCATTTTCTTGCTAATAATAAACTAATCTAGAAAAAATGTAATAAGACATTGACCTGAAGGCTGATGAGGAATTCAAGATCTGGAAGCTGAGTCTGGGACAACTGGAGTCTGGGCATGCCCAATAGCTAGTTGTACTTTGGGAGGTTTATTCAAATTGAAATTATAATTTTCCTTAGTTTAATATATACATGTATAATTTTATCTTATTTTTATTTTTAAAGACAATTATCATAATATAATTTAATTTTAGTACACATAATTCATAAAAAAGAGAATTTGTTTGGGTTTTTTTAGTCAATGAAAGTTCAAAGTAAAAATAAATATATAATTCTCTTTCTTATTTCAACCTTCTCAGTTTCTTTCATTCCTTTTCTCTGTTTTAACTCTTTATTATATTATACATTGTCTGTACATCTTGATAGACTTAACAATATATCAATTTTCTATCTAACTATTCTATTTGCAATATGATAATTTTACTATTTATTTCCATTTCTTATATAACTTCATATTTTTCTGTTTTACATTTTATTCTAAGATTACCATTTTAATACTTATGTCACCTTTTTTGATTATATTTACTTCATCATTCCACACTTATTACCGGTTATTATCATTTATCTCCTTAGTTCTTACTATTGTCATTATTCTAACAACTGTATTTTACTTTATTTTTTTTCTACCTACACTACTTATGTTTCTCATACCTTGTTATCTGGTTCTTTTCTTAGCCCTGATGATGGCCTGAACTTCATGTCGAAACGTCGGCAAATGTCAAAATAAATATTATAATTTATTTTTGCCTTCTTATTTGACTGATCACCCCAACTATTCTTCTCTTCATTATTCACGACAGTCAACCATTTATCCACTATTAAAAATAAATATAATTTACTTCCACTATGGAGATATACATGTGACACAAACTATAAAAAATTAGAAAGGGTACAAAATCTGTGTATGAGAATCATAAAAGATTATCCCAGATACACAAGAATAACCAAAAAGGTTAAAAGATTTATATAATTCCAGACAATTAAACAATTCATATACTCCCAGACTGAAACATTTTTCAACTCAACAAATACATCTGTAAACCCCATAATTGAAACAATAGGCAATTGTAATAAGCAAAGTTTAAGAAGATACAAACATAGACCTACAAAACATATTTTACTGGAATAAAACTGACCAAAATAATGTTGTATAAGATTCATAGAGTACTTATTTAGTGTAATTTAACTTAATTAACATATATAAAATGTACTATGTATTTTTATTTATTTATTAATTATTTACATAGCTATTATTTTTCTTTTTTTTTATGTATAGTTTTTTGATTAATTTTTTCTATTATAAAAAAACAAAACAAAGGAATGGTACTTAAATTAATAATTTTAATATTACTGTAGTGTGAAATGTTGTATACCAAAACATGACCAATTATTATTGAAGAGAAGAACTGTTGGGGTGATCAGTAAAAAAAAAAAACAAGTAAAAATAAATAATTATATTTATTTTTGCCAATGTTTCGTCCCAAAGTTCAGGCCTAAGAAAAAAAACAAAAACAGATAACAATAGGTATGAGAAACTACAAACATTGAATAATAAAGAATTAAAATTAAAAAGATGAAAGGTATAGACTAAAAAATGTAGTTAAAATAAACTTAAATAAAGTAGATAAAGTGAACAGTTAAGTAAAATAAAGTAGATAGAATAATAACAGCAACAGAGAACTAAGAAATAAATAATAACGGCAACAAAGTACGGACTAATGAAATAAACATAATCAAAATAAGGTAACATAAGAAATAAAAAATGAATTAACAACGAAAAGTAGTGGAATGTATGAGATAATAAACGTAAGTATAGACATAAAAAAAAAATAAATGGGGTGACATAGTTGCTAAAATATGATGTAATAGTATGCTAAAAGGAAGTGAGATAATCATAGAATAAAATAGAAAACAGAAAAAAGGAATATGAAGTTACATAAGGAAATAATAGATATAAATTGAAAATCTTATACATTGTACTACTTTTCGTTGTTAATTAATTTTTCATTTCTTATGTTACCTTATTTTGATTATGTTGATGATGATAGTCTGGTAATTATGAATAATTAAATGACAATTAAAAATGCATTAATTTACACAGTTTTCTAACCTTAATATTAAAATAAAGAAAAGATACTGTAGTAAATATATAATCTTGAAGTAGACCCAGGAATTTAAAAATAAATACAATTGAGTTCACGTATTTGTACAAATAGGCAATATGGCACATACATAGATATCTGCAATATATCAGTATAATGTAGCTGACATCTCCAAAGAACAAAATAACTTTATTTTACATATATTCGGTAGATTGATTACCGAGGGAATGGAAAAATAAATTATGTTTTAATGAAGTCAAGAATGAGGATTTCCGTATAGAGGTTGGCAGGGAATTCCAAAACGTGGTAGCAAGTTGGACAAAGGATTTTTTAAAGGAAACAGTTTTATGAGAAGGAATACACAAATTTGAGGATTGGGATGTCGTGTTAAACAAATGAACAGTGTATGTGGAGCAAAAGATGGAATCAAAAGTATAAAATAACTATACTTTTTTTATAAAAAATAAATATTGTTAAGCTAGTAATTATGTTTGTTATTTTTGTTTTTGTTTTGTATAAGCGTAACTTATCTATCTCTTCTTTTTCATAATTGGGCTAATAATTATACTTCATACCATATTCATAAAACATCTAAGATCAGATTTCTTAAGGTATAAAATAAACAAAAATAAAAACCTATGAGCTCCATAATCCGCATTAACTATATTATAGATTTTTAATAATTGGTAATTGGTTGACTGTCGTGGATAATGAAGAGAAGAATAGTTGGGGTGGTCAGTCAAAAATGAAGGCAAAAATAAATGGTAATATTTATTTTTTACATACGTTACAGACGTTTCGACCTGAAGTTCAGGCCTTCATCAGGGCTAAGAAAATAACCAGATAACAAGGTATGAGAAACATAAGTAATGATGGTAAAAAAGATAATAAAAAAAAAAGAAAAAAAAAAAAAGAAAAGAAAAAAAAATTAGAAAAATAAAATAGATAAACATAAAGTAAAATGAAATTGTTAGAATAATGACTAAGAACTAAGGGATAAATAAATAAAATAAAATAAAAATAGATTGATCTTGATAGACTTTACAATATCTCAATTTTCTGTCTAACTACTCCATTCTCAATGTTTTAATTTTACTATTTATTTTCATTACTTATATAACTTCATATTTCTTTTTTATGTTTTACATTTTATTCTAAGATTCCCATTGTAACACTTTTGTAACGGTTTTTTTTATTTATCTCTTAGTTTTTTTTTTTTTAGTTTTTTTTTTTTATTTATCTGTTAGTTCTTAGTCATTATTCTAACAATTTCATTTTACTTTATATTTATCTATTTTATTTTTCTAATTTTTTTATTTTATTTTTTTTATTATTATTTTTTTTATTATCTTTTTTACCATCATTACTTATGTTTCTCATACCTTGTTATCTGGTTATTTTCTTAGCCCTGATGAAGGCCTGAACTTCAGGTCGAAGCGTCGGCATTTGTAAAAAATAAATATTACCATTTATTTTTGCCTTCATTTTTGACTGACCACCCCAACTATTCTTCTCTTTATTATAGATTTTGTTCAAAACAATTTTTTTTTCTCTGTTTAATATTTGTGTACTCTGTTGCCTTTTAATTATTTCTGTTTTAGTATTAATTATTTATTTAACTTTTTAATTTAAATTACATTTTATTGTTTCAGGTGTAAAAGTAATAGAGGTTGAAGAAAGTGAGGAAGGTGAGTAAAAATCAATTAAAAACATTTAATTCTGTTTTCAAATCAATCAATTATTTATTCTTTCTGAATAACATCTATTTATTTTGGGATTCATCTTCACTGAATTTTCAATAAATTAAAACTAATAATTTTAAATATACTCATGCTTAATTCTTTTGTAGAATCTTTTGTTTACAAATCAAATCAATACCTGATCGAAAATTCTGACTCAAATCTATAATAAAATGTTAATCTGTAACGTTAGAAACAGTGTTATGTTTGACAAAAGTAATTGTTTATTTTAAGTTGTTTTCAAATCAGTAGCAGTTTCAAGTTTTAATCAAATTTAATTTTAACCTGTTTTATATTATTGATATTTTTTCAGAAGATGTAACTGATGAAGAGACAGAAAGTTGTTATCAACCTATTGCTGAACAAAGCTTTGATGTTCATGACTTAGTCAAAAGGTAACAAATGATATATTGTTCTTATTTATTTGTTTTAAAATAATTCATACCTATGAAATATTGTATATTTAAAAGTGATATACCATAAAAAAAAATCATATAAGAGGATAGTGGATCATGTGATGAATTAAAATATTCACGTTCTATTATTATGGTACTAATTTGATTCCTATAACTTCTCTTAGTATAAATATCTGTAGTCTACGATTTTTATTCCATTATAAACATTTTTATTGTAATTACATCTGCTTTATTTTTTGTTTTATTATTATAATTATTTATTTATTGTTAGGTTTGCTTCGCCTAAAGTAATGAGTGTTTGTATCACTTTGTTATCAACTTTTGAAAAAAATTCAGCATTCACAAATCATTGTATTACAAAAATGTTGCATCGAATAGCCTGGGATTGCAAACTTCCATCTATGTTATTTCAGGCTTCGCTATTTAGAAAATTTCAACAAATTATGGAATCTATGGACCCGAGTCATAAAGTAAGTTTGATTTATATTAAAAAACTTTCACAATTTACTTATTAACAACTTACAGTAACGATTAGTTTTTGATTGGTAGGAATTATTCTGCTTATTTCTACTAAAAACATATAGATTCAAAATATGTCCTGAAAAGATTTCTAATTCAGTAATAAAAGTAAATTAGTTTGTAGAATATACATTGAATTATATTAAATTTTATTTAATTCTAGATGTGTACACTTTTGTTTTTGTCATTGTTCTCTTCTAATTTTAAGCATTTTAATACCGTACATAATAGAGAGAAGGGAGAGAAAGGTAGGTTAGATGTAGAAAAAAAAAAACATGAACTAGGAAAGGAATATATATATATTTTATACTCATATATACTAACCACTTCTATATATTTCTATATAAGTTTTATTTATTGTCCTACGGATTAACTAGTATGCTGTGTTTCTAGCAACCCAATATAATTGGGCAGCAAGCTTTTATATTTTATATGAAAATAAAGTGTTTCCCTCTTGAATGAACTGTTTCTTACCAGTTTTGTTCTTATTGCTCCCTAAGAAAAAGAGCACTATATCTGTAAAATCATAAAAAACTACTGAAATTAATTTTTTTTTTTTTTAAACTTTTATTATGATATTTACAACTGTATTAGTATGAATACATCTAGTAAATTTGTACAGAGAAATATTATTACATGAAACACGCTTGTTGAGAAACTACCCACTGGTAGCACTCAAATTAATTTTCAAAATTTAGTTAATATAAAAGTATAAAAAAATCCTTAAACCTTCTTGTTGATGACCCTGGTCTAAAGGAAGACTATGTGGCTGAGTGTGATAAGGCTTAACTTCGCAGCCCCAAATCAGAAGTGGTGCTAATTCAATTCTGGCATGGGCAGGTTGAAATTTATTTTATAACTGATCCGCGGAATGAATCTCAATCTTTGCACTGTGGCTACAATAAGTTTGCTGTAGGATAACCATCCTGTACGACAGAACCAGGCCACGGTAGGAGGAAGAAAAAGACCTGGTTTAGTCTTTTTTTTTTTCAATGCTTAATCGATTCAAGGCATTTTTGTTCTCTCTGATTTCATTTCTTTCTTGTCTTTTTGATTATTTATGATCATCAGTTAGGGCATCCAGATTTGGTCAAGTCTGTGCTTTCTAAAAACTTGGCTATTTGACATGCCTTGTGAAATCTGGCCACTATCGGAATGTTCAAACTTCAAACTGGATGAACCTATGTTCATGAGACTGGAAATAAGGAAAAAGAGCTTTACAACCTATAAATCATTATAATTAGAATTATATCAACGTTTTATTATATTTCATTTGTTGAATCTTTTAAGTTTGGTTATAACTAGACAGTATCTTTAGATCCTATTTGATAACCATCTATTTAATGTTTTTTCCATATTACTTTAGTGTGCCATACATGGATGTTATAACAATAAGTAAAATGGTTAACAGTTGTCGAAGTGGAGATATAGTCTTTTACACATACATATTGTTTATAAGTGTGGTCTATTTAAAATTTTGTGGAATAAGTAAATAATAATAAAATAAACAAAGCTTAGTAAAAAAAAAAAATTATAATTAGCCAATGGAAAGGATTAGTTAGTATAATTCTGATATTACAGCTGACTGTTTTTGCCTTAATTCAAGTTCAGGATCTCTGTTATCGTATCTTCCAGTTCATCTGACCAGACATTTTCATTGCTAACAAACTTTCCAGTCTTTCACTGAAAAAAAAAAATAAATAAAAGATCTCTGATCTAAAAAAAATTGCTAATAGATCATTGAATAATTTATTAATTTTAGACATTAGATACAAATTTAATTTGTTAAATGTGTTGCTAATTCGACTACATAATTTTTCAGGAACTTGTGAGGTTGGCTAAATACATAATGCAGAAATTCGCAGAAGTTGCAGCAACAAACAAAAAACTTTTGTTAGAGCTTTTGTTTTTTAAAACTCCTAAAGATGCTTATGAAATCGAATGTGGTTATGGCTCCTTTCAAGAGAAGTAAGTTGATAGAATTTCTATATTTTCAATTAAATTGCTATTGAAGGCATTAATGACAATGTTTTTGACAAAAATTTGTTTAAAATTATGGCTTGTGCAGATTTAATGAGAAAATTAGTCTTTCATTTATTGTTATCATACAAATTTGTTTATGTGCCCATGGCAGCACACTTTTGCATTTTTGGAGGCTTTTTAAACCACGTAAATCTTTGGTTGCGTTAATGAGCTTATCGTCTATCTTTAGTTATTTATTTTTAATATATTCTATAGCTCAGTGGTGTCTTAATTGATTATATCCATCTTTATTTTTGTTTCATATGTGCCCCTGCCAACTACTAATGCAATATATATTTATATTTAATTTGGATGGATTGATGAGAGTTTTAATACAATTTATTTTTATTTTTATTTCTTTATTGAAATTTACAACTGTATTGGTAAAAATACTAGTAGTAAATTTTCTTCTGTAATATGGCTTGTACAGCATGAGGAGAAACTACCCATTAGTAGCATTTAAATTATAATTCTATATTAGAATGTCCCGAGGCCATCGTATTCTCTAACTTCTTGGAAGATTGTTAATATAATAAAATATTGAATACATTATGCTTAATCAATAGAAAAGATTATTGTTAAATACATATTAAAATATCTGATGTATCCACTCACACAACTTTCGTACCGATGTGAGACAAATTTTAATCAGTGTTTAAAATTCAATATGTGGTAACTTTGTTATAACATTAAAGTTCTAGTCTGATTTGGAATTTTTTTTCTATTTTCTAGGGTGGGTATTTCATTATTTTTAAAAATACAGCTTAAAAATGCATTTTTCAGATTCAGGAGGCTCTGAAACATAAAGATCCATTGAAAACGGCAAATCAAAAACTTTACTGATAACAATACTAACATTACCTTAAGTAGGAAAGTAATAAAACTTGAAATCTAGGCTTTTCCACTCTTGTTAGGATTGGTTTGTTTGTACCTCTAGAACAAACCCCTCTCTCTTCCCTCCCCCATGTCAGAAATGGTGAGGTAGGATTATCGAGAAAAAAAAAGTAATGTTAAACCTTGTAGAGGACATCGAATAAGCTTTGTAATTGATATTTTTCCTGAAAGTACTACATATTGCTACTGTTAGTGCGAAAAGTCATATGTAACAATTTTCTATGTTAATTCCATTTGTGCTAAAGGTGACATTTCGTAGTCTTTAACCGCAATAAATAGCCAGGTACTATATAAAATAGTATAAGGAAATAATATATGAAATCTTAGATCTTTTGCTCTAACAGTAAATAATCACTTTTTATGTTCTTATAAAACTCAATTCATACGATCTTTTGCTCTAACAGTAGCGATATTTGAAAATTAAAAGAGCTTTAAATAGGAGACCATGTCAAGTTACATAAAAATTAATTCAAAGCCATTCATGTGCTAAATTCTATGGAAACACACATTTTTCTCTTATATGGGAGGGTTTGAAATAATTAATTGAAAAAAATCAAAATCAAATCTGATCAAAATTTTTAACCGGAATTTTTTAAATATCATTTCATGAGTGATTTTTATTTTGAATCATAAATAATTATAATCATATCCTGATCATTATTTTCGAACAAAATGTTTACAATTAACAATAATAATAATTCTTGAGTAATATTTTTTAAAACCAGAAATATATTTTTTTTCTAATTTCTATGATATATTTTGAGTCTGGAGTAGTAGGTGGAGAATATCGTTGTCAACTATTAGCAACAAAACTGTATTTCCAAAATTTATCAGAAATTTTAGCTTATAAAAAAAAAATAAATGTTTACATATACATAGTGAAGGTACCACATGCACCATTAAAGCGATTTCAGAAATTTAACATTAAAAAATTTGTACATTTTTAACGTATACATACATATTAATATTTAATTTAATTTGTGTGTAAAAGGTGATTTGTATTTTCTGATCAAATTTTTATATCACAATTTAATCATTATTATTTATGTAAAACTATATTGAGTGATCATTATGTTTAATTGAATCAATAAACATCAAATATCGATTTAAATTAAAAATCAGGCACGATTTTGTGGAAAAAATAATTATCGATTTCAATTTCCGTTATATTGTGCAGAGGGTGCTCGATTTGTTTCACAGTCATTGGTAGTCAAAAACTTACAAAAGAAAAAAAGAATAAACAAAATTGGTCCACCCCTTCTTGAGACAATAGTGGCACATAATAATAAATACATACTCACAACAGACCATTGAATTGATAATGGGTTGGGTTTTTCGGACTCAGGAAGCTCGGTAATGTAAAGGTACATTTGAAACCTCTTATCGAACATTTGATCCATCTACAATATTTCACTTACCTACTGATAGGAAAGTAAAAAAAAATTGTAATTATTTCATCGCTCAGTAATATGTACTGTTAAATTCCTTAGGGCCATTTGTACATTTGAAGGTCAAGTCAAGTTCAAGCGAGACGGGGAAGTGGAATAAAGGGCACCATGTGTTGCCTGGCAACCTGATAACCAAGTTTTGAGATAAAAAAAATAAGTACTAGTTCGAATCCCGGTGCCCAATGGAACATTTAACTCTGTATAATTCCTCCTCCCTCTCTCCTGGCCTGTAAAAAAAAAACTCATGTAGCCTAAAAGGCAAGGAAGAGGGGGCCAGAAAAAAAAAATCAAGTTCAAGCTTGAACTACAGTCAATCATTCATGATTTTCATGGTTGTCTTTAGTTCAAGCTTGAACTTACAACTGACCCATAATAATAAAAATGTCTCAGATGTGAAATTATTTCATTACAGGTCTAAATCAGCTGCTTTGGTTTGGGAAGAACATGAGGAAGATGAACTAAGAAGGTTGCATGATGAATATAACAGAACTAAACCTTCAGAAAGTAATATCAATTCATTAATATTTTTTTTTTGCATTTAAATATTTTACATTATTATTTAATTAAATTATTTATTTTTTTTTAGGTTTCCTTGATTGGATAATGGATAATATAATAAATAAAAACCGCAGTAAAAGAAGTGTTAAGAAGAAGTTGAAGGAATTAGACTTGCTAATTGAAGTAAAAAAGATTTTATGTCATTTTCTGATTTAATAACTGTGATAGTAAATTATATTTTATAGTTTTATTTCAGTAGATAATTTTTTTTTTTTTTACTTACTAAATAAAGAAATAATTTAAAAAAGCCCTCCATAAATAATAAATACTTATAATATTTGATTATATTATTTTCCTCATTTAGGAAAAGTCAAAAGACTGGACTGAAGAGCAGATGGAGGAATTAAAACAATTGTATGAAGAATTTAAAGATTCAGAAGGTAAGTTCCATAATCTTCTTCTTGTAATTTATTTTTTTTATGTTGACATAACAGAATTTGTGGATATTTTGCCGCCTTAACAAGCCTGTTCCATCTCTGCTTATCTCAGGCTATTTCTTTCAAGTTATTTGCACGCAGCTCTATTGGATCTTTGTTGATTCTATCTATCCATTTGCTTTTTGGCCTTCCACGGGGTCTTTTGCCTTCTCTCAAGGAATTAATTGTTGTATTGAGGCTTCCAGATAGCTCCAAGCTACATAGATCCATCTTAATCTCCTTGTCTTCATGTCTATTGATTGACCGATTTTTGTAAGCAGCTCTTTATTGGTCTTTCACCTTCATGTACTAATATTTTAATCCCAGATAGTTTCAGCTGTCGTGTGGAGAATTTATCTTTTCTTTCTAGAGTGCTGGTTAGTATACGACAGAGTTGAAGAATACAAGAAAAAGTTTAAAATTATTTGTTGATATGCACCAATGATTATTTAAATACTTCTAAATCACCTTTTAAACAGAAAAAAAAAAAATCATCGAAATCTGTTTGAAATTGTATATTTGCAACAATTTATATCCAGTGCTAGAGCAAAGTGTGTTCAAATAATTTTTTTAAGAAGAAACAGAGTTGATATTTGTATCTAGCACCTCCAAAAACCCACAAATGCCAATTTTCATAGCAATTGGAAAATAAAACTTTTTTGCTTCAAATTTTCCCCGTTTTTTTTTTTTTTTTTTTTTTTTCCAAAATCACTAAAAATTTGATAAAAATAGATTTTGACGAATGAGGTATCAAATGAAAGGAAATTTCATGGATACGTGAAGACCATAATCACATCTTCACAAAGTTTCAGTGGAAAAAGTTATGAAGGATAAGAATCTTTATTTGTAAATAACTTAAAGTTTTTGTTGATATGCACCAATGATTATTTGAATATTTCTGAATTATCTTTAATTTTTTTTTAATTTTTTTTTTTTTTATTTGGGTTTTATACAACTTAAGGAGTCATATCCCCAACACCCAAAAGCCACTGCTTCCTGTCCATCCAATCTCCTTCACGAAGCCCTCTGACTGCCATGCTTTCCTCCACATCCTCTATCCATTTCTTCTTTGGCCTTCCACGCTTCCTTCAAAATTAAAAAAAATACAAATACAAAAATTTAAAAAAAATCATCGAAATCTGTTTGAAATTGGTATATTTGCAACAATTTATATCTAGTGCTAGAGCGAAATGTGTTCAAATAATTTTTTTAAGAAGAAACAAAGTTGAGATTTGTATTCAGCACCTCCAAAAACCCCCAAATACCAATTTTCATAGCAATCGGAAAATAAAACTTTTTTGCTTCTAATTTCCACCAAGGTTTTTTGTTTTCTTTCCTCCCAAAGTATTTGTGATTAGAAGGATTGGAAACTTTATTAGCAAATTTCTTTAAACGTTTACAATTTTATGTTGATATGCACAGGTTTACCAAGTTGGTCTGTCAGCCGTATAACAGAACTTCATTATAGCATTGTACACAGCATCTTTTAATTCCTTTGAAAGATGGAAGAAAGCTCTTTTTGTACTTGTTATATGCTGATCTATTTTCAGCCATTAATCATTCTTTGAGGTTAATGTGGAGTCTTGGGGTATTTGAATTTGTCAACACTCTGTAACAATTTTTATCCTATGCAGATCGTTTTATTGGGGTGTGATTTTTGGCTTCTTACCATATATTTTGTTTTATCTTCATTTTCTTATAGGCTGATTTGTTCTGCTTCTCTTATCAATCCTAGCAAGTTTCTCAATTTCTTCCACGGACTATTATATCTTATGATGTAGAGATGGTTGACCATTGATATAATATGAGAAGGAGTTAATCAGAGGGTGCGGTCAAATAAATACTAAATTAAAATATAGTAATTATTCAATTTTTGCCGACGTTTTGAGTGTTTCAACTGCCTCCTGCAGTACTACATCGAAACGTCAGCAGAAATTAAATAACTACTATATTTTAATTTAGTATTTATTTGACCGCACCCCCTGATTAACTCCTTCTCACATTATATCTTATGTATATTCAAAGATTTTATATTTCATTCCATGGTTCCCCTCTATTATTACAATATTACCAATGTCGTCATAAGATAAGTTGTCTATCCTGATTGCTGTGATCACCAAGGCCATTATATTCATCCTGCTCTATAAAATTATTTATTTCCTTATAATTTAATTTTTACTATTGGATGTTATAAGACACTAATTGTCCATTAGCCTTGAAGATTCCATTCATCCTTTTCTCAATTTGCTGTATTTTCTCACATCTATATATACATTTTTTAATATGAAATTCAAGCTGGTTGTCATTACATTAATATGAAAATTTTAAATTTCTCATAAAAAACTCATCTTGGTCACTTCTTAAGGCTATAGCTACTAGGTGCCTACATTAAGTGTAAGTATATTTAAAAAAAAAAAAACATATTTGAATGCAGTCAAAGTTATTAAAATAAAATTCTATAATGAAAATTGAAGGAAGCTAGTCGACTGTTGTACATATCATGGGTGATAAATAGTCAGGACGCAGTCATTATACAAATTTTTTTATTTGTGCCAACGTTTCAACCCAAACATGTGGCTCATCTTCAGTGCTCGAACCATGCCCTGAAGATGACCCACATGTTTGGGTTGAAACGTAGGCACAAATAAAAAAATTTGTATAACGACTGCGTCCTGACTATTTATCATCCATATAATTAAAATTGCTTGATCTGATAATCACCCATAATTAACATTATTAAAAAAATCACAACAATAATATCAAATACTGTGAAACATCGACAAAATATCTTTTTTTTTTTAGATGTCAATACATATTTTTTGTAAATAATTATATTTTAATATTTATTTTATTATATATAATTTAAAAAGGTATTTTTTTTTAAATATAGTATTCTGTATGAACATTTCTTGTTTTAGATCCACTTTCTGAAATCAGTGAGAAATTGACATTACCAAGATCGAGAAGAAACATAGCTACCACCCTTGTGAAAATGGGTTGTGTTGACTCTACCAAAGCTCTTAGGAAAAAGAGGAAAAAGTTGGGATCAGGAAGAAAAAGTAGGAAAGAAGAGGAGTCAGAATCGGACATTTCATCTTCTGAAGATGAAGATGTGCGTGATCCTGAATCCAGGGATGAGATGAGAGCTAAAGAATCGATACCTGAATTAATTGATACTTTCTCACATCTCTTTGATCAAAAGGAAGTTGATACTTGTAAGATTTTTTTTATTTATTTTAGTTTAATACATAACACAGAATATTATTATTAATACATAACATAAAATTGGACATATAAAATTAAATTTAAGATCTGCAAATTTCTTTGCAATGAGCAAATTTTTTGGCAGCTTCACAGCGTTCCATTACAATCCAGGAAATAGTTCAGTTTATCAGGTTTCATAGCCTCTTGGCCTCTTGGTGGGCTATACGGGTTACTAGTGTTTTTAAGGTTTTCTGTCAGAGGATTTGTTTTGTAAGTTAGTCTTTGGTGAAAGTTGTATTTTTTTTTGCAGTGTCTGAAATTGTTGGGATATTCAAGTCTTTATGTAATCTATCGTTTGTGACATAAAATGGTGCGATGCGTCAGCTTTTCTTGGTAAAATTTTGGATTGGAAAGACTAGATTTTTTTAATATTAGAAGTTTTAACAGAACCCCACAGTTCTAATAAGTCATAAGTCCAAATTGGTTTTAGTAAAACTTTATAGAGTGTTATTTTGTTAGTCAAGGATAATTTTGAACGTCTGTCAAGTAACTTAGATAAAAGACCGTATCGTCTGTTTAATTCTATACATTTTTGTCTAATGTGTGTCCTCCAAGTTAATCTTTTGTCGAGGTAAAAACCCAAATATTTAATTACATCGGATGCAGGAATTTAAATGTCATTAAAATATATTTCGGGGGAAGGGGTATGATTAAGAGTGAATACTACGTACACACATTTTTTTCATTCATTTTAATTTTCCACCTTGTGGCCCAATCAGCAATATCGTTCAAGTGATTTTGAAGAGTGGTGGATGATCGTTTAGGATTTTTATCTGAACTGAGGATTACGGTATCATCAGCAAAAGTAGCCAGTAGGGTGTCACTGTGTTGCGGTAGGTCAGACATATATATATTAAACAATATTAGTCCCAGGACACTACACTGAGGTACTCCTGCTTTTACAGATTTAATGTCTGAATGTTCTGTCCCTACTTTTACTACAAAATGTCTGTCTGTTAAATATGAGAGTAGTATTAAATAATAGGTGGGAGGAAGTAAAATTTTAAGTTTTACTTACAGAATATATAAGTGAGAATAAGATAGCTCAATGGGTAAGCCACTGAACTCTTCTTGGGTCTGTGTTCGAATCTAGCTGTGGCAGATAAAATATTTATTTTGTTATATCGACCGTTGATTGGAGTACTCTTCTTGGCCAGAAAGAAAATCTATGTTAATTTATAATTTGAAAACACTAACCATCCGGTCTTTAATGCTTGTAAAGAACAAAATAACCCATCAATATTTCAGCAATTCAGGCAACATCGGAACAAAAAAAGAAAAACTAACCCAAGATCTCATCACTCCATGACATCCAATCATGCTTATTAAACTAATTGCGTACTCGCATACCAATAGTTGACTGGTTATTTTATTTTTTACCTGCAATTTAGAGACAAAGCTTAAATAATGACAACATAGTTCATAAATATTTATTTAGATAGTTAATTTTAATTAAACAATCAACTGGTAGGAAGATTAGAGAAAAATAGTGGAAAAATTATTCAAGTTAAATGATTTTTGTTTTTTTTTTAGATCTGCAAGAAGGGTTGCAATGGGTAAAAGAATGCATGGAGGAGTGCGTCGAAGACATGGATGATGAACCTACTGAAGTTCCACTTCTACCTTTGTCCAATGAGGCTATATTGTCAGTTGAAAATAAACAATTTCAACAATTTTTATTATCTTTGGGGATATTTAGGCCATTGGCACAAGTAAGTTATTACATAGCCCACCAATAAATTGAAGTAAAAAAAAAAAGAAATTAAAATTGATAACAAATAAGCTACATGAATGAATAAAATATGTAAACTAAAATCGATTAAGGAAATAAGAAGAGTCTACTAGCTGGCTAAGCTAAGGCCTATAAGTAGGAACGTAACTATTTCATCACGATCTAAATATTATTATTATTTAAATTTTTATTCTGAGAAGGAGTTGATCGGGGGGTACGGTCAAATAAATACTAAATTATACAAATAGTATTATTTAATTTTTGCTGACGTTTCTAACCCTCTTTGCAGGTCTTCATCAGGGCTACAAAAGATACAAAACATGGTGAAAATAGAATAAATGAATACAAGTAGATGTAAAATAAGAAGAAGTTGTCTGATAAAGAAATAAGAAGATGATATCAGAGATATAGTGGGTGACAATGTAGTTGGAATATCAAGTATTATATATATATAGAAGATACAAACAAAAATGGAAAATAAGTATGAATAAAAATAGAAAACAAAGGAGAATATAGCATGTAAGTTAAAAGTAAACAAATTGCGATAAAAGATAAGGAATGAGTGTATAACAAACTAATAAAGATTAAATTTGATAACTGTGGGTTAACAGATAAAGAAAATGAATGTTAACGAATAAAGAGATTGAAAATTGAATAAGTAAGTTCTCTATCTGCTAACCTACAGTTATCAAATGTAATCTTTATTAGTTTGTTATACACTCATTCCTTATCTTTTATTGCAATCTGTTTACTTTTAAGTTACATGCTATATTCTCCTTTGTTTTCTATTTTTATTCATACTTATTTTCCATTTTTGTTTGTATTTTCTACATATATAATACTTGATATTTCAACTACATTGTCACCCACTATATCTCTGATGTCATCTTTTTATTTCTTTATCAGACAACTTCTTATTTTATATCTACTTATTTCTTATCTTATTTTATATCTACTTATATTCATTTATTTTATTTTCACCATGTTTTGTATCTTTTGTAGCCCTGATGAAGACCTGCAAAGTGGGTCGAAACTTCGGCAAAAATTAAATAATACTATTTGTATAATTTAGTATTTATTTGACCGCACCCCCGATCAACCCCTTCTCATATTATATCAACGGTCAACCATCTCTATATCATTATAAATTTTTATTCATATTCAGATATAATAATATAGGAACATATCCTTAGATTTTATTATTCATTCATCTTTCATGAGGACACCGCCATTTTCCCGCGATTTTCTTATAACTCTTTTGCAATAAAGTTGGAAAAAATATATTTAATAAGTTTAAGTATAAATGTATTTTATATAGAATGTTTTTATAGATATTTTTACATAATCAAACTAAGAAATCAAAAGTATTTTTCAGTTTTTAATATCCATTTTTAGCTAAAAATGTTCTGGAAATGTAGCTATGTTATTGAGGCTGTCTCCCTTCCTCTTATATTTAATTTATACAAATTGTATTATATAAAATTATTTTGTTCAGATATTTTCAAGTATATCCAAAAGTACATTACATTCTTTTATAATTCTCAATTTTTTTTCTCTTTAATGGAGTCATCAATTTTTTTAAAATTATAAATTAACATTGACGATTTAAATAGTATAGAGTTGTTTATTTTTCCTCTCCATTATTATTGCTATGTTTTTTTTATATATGAGGAAGAGTTTTAAATGATTTTGGGTTTTTATAAAAGAAGGCACCTCTTCCGTTAGTAGATAATTTTTTCATTCTCCCTTAGTCGGCGTTTGATGCTTCTGGTTCATCTTCGAAAAACATTTATCCTGGCCGATGTTTACCATCATACATAATCAAAAGCCTTCTCAACAATCATCTCTGTCTCATTTTAGTGTATGATTAAATTAACATTTAGTCATGATTTAAAAATATGCTAAAAAATAAAATAAATTTTTTGAGAGATGAAAGTTGTTACAGTTTCCACTGTCACATTACCTCTTGTTATCTGATAACATACAGTTTTTAAATATTATTTAAGACTAATACAAGCGTTGTTTTATTTCAGGAAATGTACTGGAGATTCCCTTCCAATTGGAAAGATACAGATTTCAGAAATAGGCAGAACCTTATAAATTTATTGATTGAAAACAAAACTGTTGAAGAATGTTTTGAAGTAGCTACAAAAATAATAAAGTATTTTTTTTTTTTCTATAAGTTTTTATAATTTAAAAATATTTTGTTCTGATTTATTTATATTTTGTCTTTTTTAGGGAGATCACTGGTAAGAATTTTGACGATAAACAAAACATATCCAATCTTTATAATGAACAATCTCCGTCAAAAGAAATTCCAGACATAGAAGCGGATAACGATGAGCACCTATCAACTAAGAAAAAAAATAAAATTAATAAGGAAAAACCTTCGAAGGATAAACGAACAAAAAAGAAAGCTGGTTGGATGAATTCAAGAATGTTCAGGGATAGTGATTCTGAAAATGAACCAGAATCTAAAGGTGTTACCAAATCAGAATTCAGTGATGAAAAAGAAATGGATAAAATAAAAAAATTGCCTGATGATTCTGACGATGAAATGCAAATGCAAGAAAGTTTAAAGGTTAAAAAATCTAAGGATAAAAAAGCAAAAAATAAATCACATTCCTCTAGTAGGAAAAATGCGAGGATTTTGAAGGATTCAGATTCTGAAAGTGAAGCTGTTACTGAACCAACATCCAGTTCTGGAAAAGAAGAGGGTAGCAAGAATGAAGTATCTGATATGTCTGATGATGAAAAGGAAAATCATGAGATTTCAAAGAGAAAACAGTATTTTAAGGATAAAATTACAAAAAACAAATCTCCATCCACAGGTCGTAAAAATTCCAGGATTTTGAAAGATACAGATTCCGAAAATGAATCGGAATCTGAAGTTGTCATTGAACCAGATTTTGGTGCTGAAAAAGAAGAGGGCGACACTAATAAAGTATCTGATGATGAAAAGGAAAATCGTAAAACTTCAAAGAGGAAAAATTCTAGGATTTTGAAGGATACAGATTCCGAGAACGAATCGGAATCTGAAGCTGTTATTGTACCAACTTTTAACACTGAAAAAGAAACGAAAGAGATACGAAAATTAAATGATACGTCCGATGACGAAATGCAAAATAATACAGAAGAAGTCATTTCAAGAGGTGAATCACCTTTTGGAACAGGAACCCCAAATCCAGAATCTGAGTCTCTACCGAACAAACGGACAAGAACATTGGACAGCGATTCAGAAGACGAGTTAGCTCATCTTGGAAAGAAAAGGAAGCATGTTTTCATTTCAGATGATGAGGATTAGTTCATTGTAACTGTTATAGTTCATTGTAATTGTTATAGTTCATTGTAATTGTTATAGTTCATTGTAACTGTTATAGTTCATTGTAACTGTTATAGTTCATTGTAACTGTTATAGTTCATTGTACCTGTTATAGTGTCATTGTAATTGTTACGTTCTCATTGTAAATATTTCTGTTTATATTAATGTTAATGTAACAGCAGTTAGTTTTATAATATTCTAATATTGTATTATTCAAATTATGGGTATACATTTTTAAATATGTTTTGACAAAGTGAAGTTTCCTTGTCATTTTAGACTGTTTTATTTCAATATTTATAGATAATATTTTTATAAAGTTTTAAGAAAGTAAATAATTTGTTTTGTTAAATATATATGGGATTACATTCTGTTTAAAATAAATAAAAAATATATTTTAATTTGTTGTTATGAATTGTCCTTCATCTAATTATATATAGAGATGATGTGATTGTTAGTAAATCTATTGAGGTTTCATTCACTGATTTTAATGAAACTTTGTTTATTTGTTGAATCGCTCATTATTCCTTCCTTTATTCAAATCACTTAGCTCCATTTAATCGTCATTATAAACTGAAAAATAAGCTTTAAATATAAATCTCTTATAATTGAATAGAAGAATGGTTAGATTCATTGTAGGATGCTGGTTAGTACGACAAAAGAGAATCCCAGAGACGTTAAGAACCATAGTCACATCTTCACAAAGATTCAGGAAAAAAAGTTATGAATGATAAGAATCGTTATTTGCAAATAACTTAAATTTTTTAAAAGTTTTTGTTGATATGCACCAATAATCATCTTTAAAACTCACCTTACTTCTAAATTATGTATAAAATAGAATTAAAATCTGTTTAAAATTGGTATATTTGCAATAATTTATATCTAGTGCTAGAGCGAAGTGTGTTCAAATAATTTTTTAAGAAGGAAAAGAGTTGTAATTTGTATTTAGCACCTCCAGAAATCCCCAAATACCAATTTCATAGCAATTGCAAAATAAAACTTTTAGCATCTAATTTTCACCAAGACTATATATAGCCTTAGTTCTTTTTAGAAAAACTTGATAGCAATGGATTTTGACGAATGAGGTATCAAATGAAAGAGAACCTCATGGAGATGTAAAGAACCATAGTCGCATCTTCACAAAGTTTCACCAGAAAAAGGTATGAATGAAAAGAATCTTTATTTGTAAATAACTTAAGAAGAAAACAATTTTTTGTTGATATGCTAGAATAATGTCCCTTAAAACTTACTTTACTTCTAAATTATGTATAAAATAGAAATAAAAAATCATTAAAATCTGTTTGAAATTGGTAAATTCGCAACAATTTATGTCTAGTGATGGGGAGTGGTGTGTTGAAATAATTTTTTAAGAAGGAACAGAGTTGATATTTGTATTTAGCACCTCCAGAAATCCCCAAATACAAATTTTCATAGCAATCGGAAAATAAAAGTTGTTTGCATCTAATTTTCATCAAGGCTATATAACCTTAGTTTTTTGTAAAAAATCACTAAAAACTTGATAGCAATGGATTTTGACGAATGAGGTATAAAACGAAAGAGAATCTCATGGAGATGTAAAGAACCATAGTCGCATCTTCACAAAGTTTCAGCAGAAAAAGTTATGAAGGAAAAGAATCTTTATTTGTAAATAACTTAAAAAGATAACAATTTTTTGTTGATATGCTCCAATAATTACCTTTAAAACTTACTTTACTTCTAAATTATGTATAAAACAGAAAAAAAAATCATTAAAATCTGTTTGAAATTAGTATATTTGCAACAATTTATGTCTAGTGATGGGGAGAGGTGTGTTGAAATAATTTTTTAAGAAGGAACAGAGTTGATATTTGTATTTAGCACCTCCAGAAATCCCCAAATACCAATTTTCATAGCAATCGGAAAATAAAAGTTTTTTGCATCTAATTTTCATCAAGGCTATAGCCTTAGTTTTTTTTAAAAAATCACTAAAAACTTGATAGCAATGGATTTTGACGAATGAGGTATCAAATGAAAGAGAATCTCATGGAGATGTAAAGAACCATAGTCGCATCTTCACAAAGTTTCAGCAGAAAAAGTTATGAAGGAAAAGAATCTTTATTTGTAAATAACTTAAAAAGATAACAATTTTTTGTTGATATGCTCCAATAATTACCTTTAAAACTTACCTTACTTCTAAATTATGTATAAAATAGAAATAAATAATGATTAAAATCTGTTTGAAATTGGTATATTCGCAACAATTTATGTCTAGTGATGGGGAGAGGTGTGTTGAAATAATTTTTTTAAAAGGAACAGAGTTGATATTTGTATTTAGCACCTCCAGAAATCCCCAAATACCAATTTTCATAGCAATCGGAAAATAAAAGTTTTTTGCATCTAATTTTCATCAAGGCTATAGCCTTAGTTTTTTGTAAAAAATCACTAAAAACTTGATAGCAATGGATTTTGACGAATGAGGTATCAAATGAAAGAGAATCTCATGGAGATGTAAAGAACCATAGTCGCATCTTCACAAAGTTTCAGCAGAAAAAGTTATGAAGGAAAAGAATCTTTATTTGTAAATAACTTAAAAAGATAACAATTTTTTGTTGATATGCTCCAATAATTACCTTTAAAACTTACTTTACTTTTAAATTATGTATAAAACAGAAAAAAAAATCATTAAAATCAGTTTGAAATTGGTATATTCGCAACAATTTATGTCTAGTGATGGGGAGAGGTGTGTTGAAATAATTTTTTTAAAAGGAACAGAGTTGATATTTGTATTTAGCACCTCCAGAAATCCCCAAATACCAATTTTCATAGCAATCGGAAAATAAAAGTTTTTTGCATCTAATTTTCATCAAGGCTATAGCCTTAGTTTTTTTAAAAAATCACTAAAAACTTGATAGCAATGGATTTTGACGAATGAGGTATCAAATGAAAGAGAATCTCATGGAGATGTAAAGAACCATAGTCGCATCTTCACAAAGTTTCAGCAGAAAAAGTTATGAAGGAAAAGAATCTTTATTTGTAAATAACTTAAAAAGATAACAATTTTTTGTTGATATGCTCCAATAATTACCTTTAAAACTTACTTTCCTTTTAAATTATGTATAAAACAGAAAAAAAATCATTAAAATCAGTTTGAAATTGGTATATTCGCAACAATTAATGTCTAGTGATGGGGAGAGGTGTGTTGAAATAATTTTTTTAAAAGGAACAGAGTTGATATTTGTATTTAGCACCTCCAGAAATCCCCAAATACCAATTTTCATAGCAATCGGAAAATAAAAGTTTTTTACATCTAATTTTCATCAAGGCTATAGCCTTAGTTTTTTTTAAAAAATCACTAAAAACTTGATAGCAATGGATTTTGACGAATGAGGTATCAAATGAAAGAGAATCTCATGGAGATGTAAAGAACCATAGTCGCATCTTCACAAAGTTTCAGCAGAAAAAGTTATGAAGGAAAAGAATCTTTATTTGTAAATAACTTAAAAAGATAACAATTTTTTGTTGATATGCTTCAATAATTACCTTTAAAACTTACTTTCCTTTTAAATTATGTATAAAACAGAAAAAAAATCATTAAAATCAGTTTGAAATTGGTATATTCGCTACAATTTATGTCTAGTGATGGGGAGAGGTGTGTTGAAATAATTTTTTTAAAAGGAACAGAGTTGATATTTGTATTTAGCACCTCCAGAAATCCCCAAATACCAATTTTCATAGCAATCGGAAAATAAAAGTTTTTTACATCTAATTTTCATCAAGGCTATAGCCTTAGTTTTTTTTAAAAAATCACTAAAAACTTGATAGCAATGGATTTTGACGAATGAGGTATCAAATGAAAGAGAATCTCATGGAGATGTAAAGAACCATAGTCGCATCTTCACAAAGTTTCAGCAGAAAAAGTTATGAAGGAAAAGAATCTTTATTTGTAAATAACTTAAAAAGATAACAATTTTTTGTTGATATGCTCCAATAATTACCTTTAAAACTTACTTTCCTTTTAAATTATGTATAAAACAGAAAAAAAATCATTAAAATCAGTTTGAAATTGGTATATTCGCTACAATTTATGTCTAGTGATGGGGATAGGTGTGTTGAAATAATTTTTTTAAAAGGAACAGAGTTGATATTTGTATTTAGCACCTCCAGAAATCCCCAAATACCAATTTTCATAGCAATCGGAAAATAAAAGTTTTTTACATCTAATTTTCATCAAGGCTATAGCCTTAGTTTTTTTAAAAAATCACTAAAAACTTGATAGCAATGGATTTTGACGAATGAGGTATCAAATGAAAGAGAATCTCATGGAGATGTAAAGAACCATAGTCGCATCTTCACAAAGTTTCAGCAGAAAAAGTTATGAAGGAAAAGAATCTTTATTTGTAAATAACTTAAAAAGATAACAATTTTTTGTTGATATGCTCCAATAATTACCTTTAAAACTTACTTTCCTTTTAAATTATGTATAAAACAGAAAAAAAATCATTAAAATCAGTTTGAAATTGGTATATTCGCAACAATTTATGTCTAGTGATGGGGAGAGGTGTGTTGAAATAATTTTTTTAAAAGGAACAGAGTTGATATTTGTATTTAGCACCTCCAGAAATCCCCAAATACCAATTTTCATAGCAATCGGAAAATAAAAGTTTTTTACATCTAATTTTCATCAAGGCTATAGCCTTAGTTTTTTTAAAAAATCACTAAAAACTTGATAGCAATGGATTTTGACGAATGAGGTATCAAATGAAAGAGAATCTCATGGAGATGTAAAGAACCATAGTCGCATCTTCACAAAGTTTCAGCAGAAAAAGTTATGAAGGAAAAGAATCTTTATTTGTAAATAACTTAAAAAGATAACAATTTTTTGTTGATATGCTCCAATAATTACCTTTAAAACTTACTTTACTTTTAAATTATGTATAAAACAGAAAAAAAAATCATTAAAATCAGTTTGAAATTGGTATATTCGCAACAATTTATGTCTAGTGATGGGGAGAGGTGTGTTGAAATAATTTTTTTAAAAGGAACAGAGTTGATATTTGTATTTAGCACCTCCAGAAATCCCCAAATACCAATTTTCATAGCAATCGGAAAATAAAAGTTTTTTACATCTAATTTTCATCAAGGCTATAGCCTTAGTTTTTTTTAAAAAATCACTAAAAACTTGATAGCAATGGATTTTGACGAATGAGGTATCAAATGAAAGAGAATCTCATGGAGATGTAAAGAACCATAGTCGCATCTTCACAAAGTTCCAGCAGAAAAAGTTATGAAGGAAAAGAATCTTTATTTGTAAATAACTTAAAAAGATAACAATTTTTTGTTGATATGCTCCAATAATTACCTTTAAAACTTACTTTACTTTTAAATTATGTATAAAACAGAAAAAAAAATCATT